AGGTGTTTTTAACAAAATAAAATCATGGCGACACGGATGTATATTTGGATGTGCAAATGAGCTTATGGCGTAAGCGCAGGACGGATCGTGCATCCTGGGCGGATCTTTCAGCGAGATGCTTTCTCACCACTCCTTCAATCCTTTTCATCTCTATCAAAGGATCTACATGGAGGATCCTCAACTCCAGTCCTAATGTCTTGAAAGATCTAGATTGACTCCAGCTCTATACTGCCTGGATAAAATGATCTCCTCATCAAGCCATTTCCTGACACAGAACCCTGATAAGAAGCAATTATTTGGAGCTACAGTATTGGAACTCTGGAAATAAACTCGATTTTTTTTTCAAATGATATAAATCCAAAAAAAGTTAAAACAACAATCTACTGGACTTTGTTTCCAACTGTAGACTAAGACGTCTCTTTACAAATGTAATAGTGCGAAAAATTCCTCTTAACCCCACCTGATGCTAAAGCTACTGACCGCACCGGACTGTATTTATACCGCAATGCATGGCAGATTACAACATGATGGTGAGCCGTTTAAACACAACAACAGAACACAATAGGACAGAGAAAAAATTTGATAAAATAGAACAAAATAGAACAGCATAGGATAGAATACAACAGAACAGAACAAAATAGAATAGAAGAGAACAAAATAGAAGAGAAAAGAATAGAATTGAACAGAAAGGAATGTTAATAACTGTGTATAGTTCATTAGACGGTTGTTAAAAAACGCACTCATATAATATGTTTCAAACCGCAATAAAGATCGTAAAAGAACAATGTATTTGAGTATTTAATCTTTTAAAATACGACTTGGAATTATGGGTAATCCAGAGTGTAGATTAAAACCATAACCGTGACGTACAATGTGTTACAATGTGCGACGATAGACACCAAAAAGGGGAACTTAAGTGGATTCCAGAAAAGGAAAGAAGAGCTGCTGGAAGAATGAAAAAACTTCCCAAAATAAACACGTTCCTTTCGTCTGATCTGCCGTCACCTACATGTTTTCATGGATCTGTAGCTGTATACCAAATGTGTTTTCATGGACATGCATGGTGCGCCATCAACATGTGTTTGTGGATGTGGTGGTGCGCTGTCACCAATGGTCAATATTTTTCTGTGTGTGATGTGTTGAAGCAAAATGCTAGGAAACTGGAGAGAAAATATCGCTCCACAGGCCTATGGGAATCCTACCTAGTCTGGAAAAATAGTTTCCTGCTGTATAAGAGGACCCTTTGTAAAGCAAGAGCAGAATATTTCTCCTCATTAATAGAGGAGAATAAGAATAATCCTAGATTTCTTTTAAATCCAGCTGCCAAACTCACCCAGAGCCATAGCTCTGTTGAACCGTCCATTCTACCTGTTCTTAGAAGTAATGATTTTACTTGATTTTATTGAATATACTACTGAATATACTACTGAATATACTACTGAATATACTACTGAATATACTACTGAATATACTACTGAATATACTACTGAATATACTACTGAGAATTGCATAATTGTATCTTCTTGGCTAATTTATGGAACTGTCGCTGTATCCTGAACCTTTATCAGGTGTTGTACTTCATATGGGGCCCACCCAGATAATGTTGCTTACGGGCCTATTGCTGTTTTGTTGCGCCACTGCCTTCACATCCCTCTCAACCACCTGTCTTCAAAAATGTGAACATTCTGGTCCACCAAAGAATGTCCTTTGTCCCTAAGGCGTAGATGTACTGTAGTCTTGTCCAGAAGAGGGCGCTCTCCTGTGTTGAGCAATGCGTCTGTGAAGAGGTTGTTTGGTTTCTCCAAGCTTGGAAACAAAGTCCAGTGGGTTGTTTTTTTTTTTGTTTTTTGGAATGGCTATGACCTGGATGACTGAAAACCTTTACCAGCAAAATGAATGCAAATCCCTGCATATTAAACCTTCATGAACAGTCAGCAAATCTTTGCCATTACCTTTAAGATAATAAGGGTTATAGTTAATGGTTTTTCAGAGCGCAGAGATGATAAAAGAAGATGGCTGCAGGTCAGTACCTGTGCGAGTCTTGGACTGGGATGTCCCGCGGCTTCCGGCTGGGAGGGTTTTTGCTCCTCCACTCTGCCATTCTTTACACCATCCAGCGCTGTGGTGGTTGAGTCCAGGCTGGCCTTGGGGGTGGAGCGAGGGCTCGCTTGAGGGCTGGTGTCATTGTTGTTGTTTTGTTTTATCAGGTGACTCTTTATGATGTTGGGAGTTCTGGGGAAAAAAAATCAACATTATTTGTTTAAATAGGACATGTGTCAAAGTAGTCCCACTCCCAACTCCTCAAAAATGACCCCCTGGCCACGCCCCCTCTGGGTGGGATGCTGATGCACGGGATGCATGGCTGTTGGAAGACAGGAACGCAAACTGCGAACCACGAAACTAACGTTAACTGCATCCTTTACCCTAACCCTGACCCCCTCCACCTAAACCAACACTAGTCAATACGCTACCCCACACTAAACCTACCAAGAACTTTCTGGGATAAAAATGTCCGTCACAGGCCAGGTGTGTGTTACCTGACACGGTATCTGCAACTTTGTTGATTTAATGAAGGACTCACAGGCAACTGAGGCAGAAATCCAAAAAAAGGAATACAGAAAAAAACAGAATCTAGGAGACATCAGAGAAAACATAATGAGGCAGGAAAAGATGAGGAACCAGCACTGAGGAACTGCACAGCAGACACCCCAAGCTCCTGAAACTCATTTCAGGGAGAT